CAAATAAATAAATAATTATTTATTTGCTCAGGCTGGTCTAGAACTCCTGGATTCAAACAGTCCTCCCACTTCAACCTCCCAAAGTGTTGGGATTACAGGCATAAGCCACCCTGCCCAGCCATTATCTCCTTTCTTTTATTGCAGAATGTCTTAAAGGAGTTACACTTGCTGTCCTCATTTGTTCCTAATGTTTATGCAGAAACATTGACAAAGAGACATCAATGGTCTGCCTTTAAGATAACTAATATCAAATGCACACTCTCATTATGTGCCCTGTCCCCACGACCCACCCAGGTTGGCTCTGAAGTTTACAGAGCGTATTTGCCCCAGATTCTGTAATGAGTTAGTGGAAAAAGCAGGAATCCAAGAATAGGGTGTGTGGCCCCAAAGGACAGGCTTCTGACCACCATGTCCTGCTTCCCCATCCCCCCGAACAGCTCTGAGGGCTGTTCTCTTGGATGGCTTTTGGTGAGTTTACTATGGCCAGAGTGGGCCATTTGTCCTGTAGACTGTGGACTGTAATTCAATAGCACACCCAAAACAGATCTTTCTGGGGGCAGATTAATAGTAGCTCAGGAAACTGATGATATAAAATAAGAATGACAATTTATTAATTTAAAATACATACTCTGTCAGGAGAACCAGAATGTTCACTCCAGCATGACAAGTGCATTCTTTCCCTGTGGGCAGGCTTCTGTGGGAAAGCAGATTATTATCAGCAGGTTGCTTGGTGAGCATGGAATCAGAGCAAGGGGAATTAGCTGTAATAACTTGATTGCTGTACGGCCTCAGATCATTAAAGAGACTCTCCATTTTAATCCTTTGCTTAAAGTGGTGCATCACCTGCACCCAGATGTGCCCATTTTCAGTGTAAGAAGAGACTTCCTTGTGGAAGGCTGATCTCTTCCTCACAGGATGCTTAAGTAGCAGTTCCAGCATGGAGGTCTTGTTATCTTCAATCTCAAGGTGTCTAAAACCAACTCTTTAATTTCCCTGCACAAACTGGCATCTTCTTTTGACTTTGCTATTTCTTGCATTAGAAAATTATTTTCCATGACCAAGATTCAACACCTAAACCTGAAATGTAAAAAAAAAAATTATGGAAGTGCGAATTTCAATCTTTAAAACAAATATGCATTGCTTTTAAAAATAAATTAATATATGTAAAGTCCGTAGCTATTATTTGCTACATTCCTCTCTCTACTTTCTCACACTTCCCTTATTAAAAACAACCCTCTAGGATTTTCACATGAAGAAACTACCATTTTAATCCCTGGCATAAGATGAAGCTAAGGGAAAGATAAGACCCATCCAGCAGCTTTCGTTTTTCCATTTCCTCTACTTTGAGGCAGTTTTTAAGAGGGAGAACTTATTCTTGTAAATATTGTTTGCTTCAGTACTTGTAAAGGGTTAAATTTCAAAATCCTAAGTTCCTGCTTCTAGAGCTAGACTTGACTTTAGTAAACCTTTTTCTTTCAACTGATTTTGTTTACTCTATTTCCTTAGATCTTTACTGTTCCAAAAGTTCAGCGAAAGATGACTTTTTCTTTACTCCGACAACCTTTAGAGGTGGAGCGAGTATCAGTGGTGGTATTTCGGTGAGTTGATAAATTTGCAAGAATGACAGGACTAAATGTTGCTTCTAGAGTTAAACTAGAATCTGCTACATTACTATGAGTCCTCCGTAAAGTATACCTGATTGTCATTGCTACTAGAAAAAGACTGGATTTGAGGAAACATGGACTTGAATGTCAATTCTTATTTTTTCGATGTTACTTTATGTTTTAGAGTGTGACAACACTTGACTAGGATCATTAATAAGAAACAACTTCTGGAAATCTTAGAGAAATATTGTTTATTTCATGCAATAGTGATTATATAATTCCCGTGACAGAATATTTTCTACACAAGGAAAAATGGCTAAAATTGAAAAATAGATTTATTCAGTATGTTCAAAATAAAAGGTTTCAAAGACACTTTGGAAGGTGGTATTGGAGAAATTAACAATAGCAACATAGCTGAATGTTTTAAAAGTAATTTTAGGAAGAATATGGAAGAATATGACATTGCTTTATGTTTGAATGTCGAGAAACTTTTAAAATGAGAAGTGCTAGCAGAAAGATCTAAAATAAGATAGAGAAGACGTTACACGGATATTTTCTCCTTAGTTACCTTATATTACACAATTGTATTTAAGTTCGTCTTTGTTATCTGTTAGTACCAATCCCGCAAACCAATCTAGCAAACCGATAAGGACAAAGAAAGGATAAGCTGCCAAGTGCCTGGTACTTTGATTAGCTTTCTGAGAGGTGAATGTCTTCTGTCTGCATTCTCATTGCCACTGTTTGGGTACAGAGTCCCCTTTTTTTTCCATCTTGCTTAAAGAATCATTTTTCTTTTCCTCTGCTCTGGGAACTCAGCCCATGAACACAGAACATGTTGACTTAGTCCCACTGGAGAATTTTCAAGCCCTAACAAGTTGGCTTGGAACTTGCTGATGAGCCTTTATCCTCTGGGCAAGTGGGGCCACCAGATACAGATGTCGTTGTCACAGAATTCATTCACCTGCCCAGTACCGTTTTGTATTTGTTGCTATGACTATTCTGTGAAACAAAAACAATTTTGTTTTTTGTTTGAGTATTTTGTGAAACAAAGAAACAGCAAAGTCCTTCACCGATGAAAACTCACTTGTGTCTGTGGTATTTTTCAGAGGAAGTCTTTACCGCCAAACATCCTTTTTGTGTATCTTCCTTTATAACTATAGTGCCTCCTCTCCCCAGATTTGCTCATTTTCTCTTCTTTCTTCTGCTCTTCAATTTGCCTGCAACACTCTTCCTATTGCTAACCCAGTTTTGCTCATGCTTTGAGGTTCTTCCCAGGCTGAAGATAAGGGTGTGTAAGAAGATAGGGACCAGAAAAAGGGAGGGAGCAGCCAAAAGAGCTGCAGCCAGTGCAGCTTGAGAAGGCAGATCTGAGACATTTTAGGCCTGGGGACTGGGGTCTGGGATCCAGGGAGGGATAGTTACTAAAAGGAAAGTGTCTTTTAGCATTTGGAAGCCCTTCCTCCATTTCTTGTGGAAATTAATCTTTCATTCAACAAGTGTTTACTGAGCATTACTACGTGCCAGACAGGCATTAGATGCTGGAGATACAGCTATGGTGCCCTGTCCTAAAGGAGTTTGTGGAATAATAGGAAAATAGCCAATATAATAGAAAAATGTATTCTAGAGTGATCGGGGCTCTCACATGGGCAGTGCCAGGTTCTACGGGAACACACAGGAAATGCTCCTCCTATCTCTGGGGAGGTCAGAGAAGGCCTCCTAAAGGAAATGATATATGAGTTGCCATTGGACAGATGAAAAGGAGCTAGTCTGATAAAGGGAGTGGAGACAGGTGGCTACAGGCAGAGGAAAGAGCATGTGTGAAGGCTCCCAAATGGAAAGAAGCTGAGTTGTATATTTCTGGAGTACAGACATGGGGAGGTGCAGATAAGCATGGGAACAGGGAAGGAGAGTGATGAGGAATCAGGCTGGAAAGATGAGCAGGGACCATGTTGCAGAAGGTCCTAGGAGTCATGTTACAGCTTTTTTCCTGAGGCCAACAAGAGGTGTTGGCAGGGTTTTTAGCAGGAGTGTGACATGATGCCATTCTCCTTTTATAATGATGACTCTGGCTTTGATGTGGACACTGGTCTACAGGTGGCCACGCATGGAACAAGGGAGGAACATAGCGGGAGAGCAAGCACTGGTCAGCAGGCATGTCCTGGAGATAACTCACTGCTTGGGGCTGGGGTGGGGGAGTAGAGAGGTGGGGCTAGGAGGCATGGTCTTGGGCAGCCTTACTGGCAGCTGATTGAAGGTGTGGAGGAAGCCACAGTGGAGTTACTGATGGGATAATATATGATGACCTAGCCTTGCTTTTAGCAACACCTGGCAGCGACACCCCTATCTCCTTGCTTGGATTCATAAGTTTTAGTTACCTGGTCCCTATAAAACACTGGGTCCTGCAAAGTATCAGTGACCCTGTTTGTCAGGCATACCCCAGGGGCCAGAAAAGGAAGAAAGGGTCTCAGGCTTTTTAGACTTCTTGGTGATTTGTAGTGGAGAGTGCGTGTTGATGAACTTCCTCTGCAACCTCTTTTCTTGTAACTACTAAGCCATAAGTATTGTTCTTCCCCTTCTCTGGTCACCATATGACTGACCAACTTCTTCTTTATGTACGTTGGCTGCATCCTGCCACACCACTTTCCTGAGCAGGAAACAAACCAGTCATTTTTTTTTTTCTAACTGAAAGAGCATGCGGTCAGTACCTCTGCCTGCACCGTCATGTGTTTGCAAAAGTGCGTTTATTTCCATGGTATTTTGGGTTTTGAATGTTTGAAATCACTTGTTTGCGCCTTCATTTCTCATTCTAAATCTCTAAGAGTTTCCAGTATGAAGGAAATTAGACCACATGTAGAAAAAAATGAAATCTAATAATGATATTATTCTGGTTTAAAAAAAATAACTGCCCAGAGAAGACTTACATACATGAGAATAAATTGAGGGAAAGTTTTGAATTGCATTTTGTTTCTCTAGAGCCTGGGCAGTAATTTCCTCTCACACATAGTTCTCGAAGTTCAGTTGTGGTTCTCAGCTATGGCCTGTGAAAGAGTCACCTATGGCACTTAAATAAAAGGCAGATTCTGGAACCTTACCCCTGAGATATTCTGATTCACAGGATTTGAGATCTGTTTCATTCAATTTTAATGCCAAATTGAGTGGCATATTTGTGCTTACCTTGAGTTGTCTCATATGGCCTTTAAAATACAAAGATTATTTTTGTACAGAATTTATTCTTATCTGGCTGGACTAAAGCCTGATAAATTCAATCTGTTGTTCCTTCCTGTGTCAGTGACTTCCTAGTTATCTAGATTTGTCTAGGAAGAAAGTTAAAGGAGGTAAATTTATAGTTATTGTGCATTTTTCAGATACTAATATTACATACTTCTGTTTTCTTAGGTCGGCCACCTGTTGAGACCTGGTGAAAGATCAGGTAGTTCTACAGTAAAAAGAAATCGCTTGGTAAGTTTTGAGTTCTTCCAATGATGCAAAGTGATGTTTTAAAAATATAATTTTAATTTTTTCGTGGAAGTTTAATTTATATACAAAAAGCACACAGGTCTAGGTGTTCAGCTCAATGAACTTTGACGATTATATACACCCATGTAACTACCAAGGGTGTATAAAACAAGATATAGAACATTGATTTCTCTCACCCCAGAAAGTTCCCTTGTGCCTCTTTTCATTCATTCTTTCTACACCCATTGTGGCCGTCTTTTGATTTCTGTCAGATCAGTTTTATCTACTTTTGAAATGAATATAAATGAAATCATACAGCATGTGTTCTTTTGTATTGCTGCTTTTGCTTAGCATAAGGTTTTTGACATATACCCACACAGTTGCATGTATTAATAGTTTGTTCTTCATTTTAAATTTCAAAGCAGTGTTCCATTGTGTGAACACACCAACATTTAAAACAGAGTTCATATAGTTAGAAATAATTTTGGTCATGATCGCAGAAAACACACTTTGGTTTTTTGGTTGAGTAATTTGGTGCAGTAATTAATAGTATCATTAACACTTCAGTTTACTGAATCCAATTTCTTTAACATAGCATCCACACCAGAGAGTGTTGATTTTCTCTATTGTCTCTAGTTAGTCAGTGACAGGCTACTATGTAATTTTTCCTTCAGTGGACCTGAATCCAACCTATTACGGCTGTTTTCTTTATTTTTGACCACAGACTCTTTAGAGACTAAAGGCTGGATTAGAGTTTACATAGTGCCCTGTCCCTCCTTCCAATACCATCCCTGATAGGTGGTTAACCTACTGCCACAGGTAATTAGAGCATGATGCATTTCATTCCCTTGTTAGATACTTATTCATTGCAACATGCAGTCTTATAATGAGCTGAACTCTGTCTCAATGTGGTTCCCACCCATAGGCCATTAGTTATGCCCTCTGGGGCAATATATTCATATTCCCAATGGTAATCAGGAGTCTAGAATTATTGTCACCCATTTTTTTCAAGTAAAATGATTTAATTATATTTAATCTTAATAGTGTAAAGATAAGATTAACTGGCTTTAACACAAACAGATTTTCAACAGGACCCAGTGTTGCAAAGTTTTGATATGTTCTAACATGATCTAAGATTCAGGTCTCATTCTCTTAAACAGTAATTCATATGTATATGTGTATGTATGTATTAATGCATATATGTAAAAGTAGGTAATTTTTGGAAATAAAAATAAGAAAGCAGAAGTCACCATAATCATGCTGCCTAGAGATAAATACTTGAGGTTGCTGTGTTGCACAACTTTACAGGACTCCAATTATAGTGACCTCTATTAATGTATTTGTGTATATTGATCCAAATATATATCCCCAAATAGAATTATCCTGTACATTATTTTGAAACTTCCTCTTTAAACTTAGAATTATAATCAAAGACACCTTTTATGTCTTTAAACATTTCTCAATAACATTATTCTTATTTACATTTCCCCTAACTTTTAATTTTGAAAATGTTGAATGTTACATAATTGAAAGAATGATACAATGAACACCCATAACTTAATTCTACAATTATTACTATTTTGCCACGTTTGCTTCCTTACTGTCTGTCTCTTTTTCTATACAAACACATTCCCTCATGTGTACAAACACACACATGGGGTCTTTTTGTTTTTCAAATTTCAATAGGCTTTTGGGGAGCAGGTAGTGTTTGGTTACATGAATAAGTTCTTTAGTGGTGATTTCTGAGATTTGGTGCACCCATCACCTGAGCAGCATACACTGTTCCCAATTTGTAGTCTTTTCTCCCTCACTCCCCCTCCCACCCTTTCCCCCAAGTCCCCAAAATCCATTGTATCATTCTTATGCCTTTGCGTCCTCATAGCTTAGCTCCCACTTATGGGTGAGAACATACAATATTTGGTTTTCCATTTCTGAGTTACTTCACTTAGAATAATGGTCTCCAATTCCATCCAGGTTGCTGCAAATGCCATTATTTCATTCCTTCTTATGGCTGAGTAGTATTCCATGGTGTGTGTGTGTGTGTGTGTGTGTGTGTGTGTGTGTGTATGCCACATTTTATCTGCTTGTTGATTGATGGGCATTTGGGCTGCATCCATATTTTTTGCGATTGTGAATTGTGCTGCTATAAACATGTATGTGCAAGTTTTTTTTTTTGTATAATGACTTCTCTTCCTCTGGGTAGATACCCAGGAGTGGGATTGCTGGGTCAAATGGTAGATCTACTTTTAGTTCTTTAAGGAATCTTCACGTTGTTTTCCATAATGGTTGCACGAGATTACATTCCTACCAACAGTGTAAAAGTATTTCCTTTTTACCACGTCTGCATCAACATTTATTCTTTTTTGATTATGGCCATCCTTGCAGGAGTGAGGTGGTACTGCATTGTGGTTTTGATTTGCGTTTCCCTGATCATTAGTGATGTTGAGCATTTTTCCCTATGTTTGTTGACCATTTGTATATCCTCTTTTGAGAATTGTCTATTCATGTCCTTAGCCCACTTTTTGATGGGATCCGCTTGTTTTTTTTCTTGCTGATTTGTTTGAGTTCCTTGTAGATTCTGGATATTAGTCTTCTGTTGGATGTATAGATTGTGAAGATTTTTCTCCTACATGTGGGTTGTCTGCCGATTATTTCTTTTGCTGTGCAGAAACTTTTTAGTTTAATTAAGTAACATCTATTTATGTTCGTTTTTGTTGCATTTGCTTTTGGGTTCTTGGTCATGAAGTCTTTGCCTAAGCCAATGTCTAGAAGGGTTTTTCTGATGTTATCTTCTAGAATTTTTATAGTTTCAGGTCTTAGATTCAAGTCTTTGATCCATCTTGAGTTGATTTTTGTATAAGGTGAGAGATGAGAATCCAGTTTCATTCTTCCACATGTGGCTTGCCAGTTATCCCAGCACCATTTGTTAAATTGGGTATCCTTTCCCCTCTTGATGATTTTGTTTGATTTGTCAAAGATCCATTGACTATAAATATTTAGCTTTATTTCTGGGTTCTTTATTCTGTTGCTTTGGTCTACATGCCTGTTTTTATACCAGTATTATGCTGTTTTGGTGACTAGGGCCTTATAGTATAGTTTGAAGTCGGGTAATGTAATGCCTCTATATTTGTTCTTTTTGCTTAGTCTTGCTTTGGCTTTGTGGGCTCTTTTTGGTTCCACATGAATTTTAGGATTGTTTTTTCTAGTTCTGTGAAAAATGATGGTGGTATTTTGTTGGGAATTTCATTGAATTTGTAGATTGCTTTTGGCAGTATAGTCATTTTCACAATATTGATTCTACCCATCCATGACCATGTGTTTCCATTTGTTTGTGTCATCTATGATTTCTTTCAGCAGTGTTTTATAGTCTCCCTTGTAGAGGTCTTTCACCTCCTTGGTTAAGTATATTCCTAAATATCTTTTTTATGGCTATGATTAAAGGGTTTGAGTTCTTCATTTGATTCTCAGCTTGGTTGCTGTTGGTGTATAGCAGGGCTACTGATTTGTGTATATTAATTTTGTATCCTGAAACTGCTGAATTCATTTACCATTTCCAGGAGCTTTTTGGAAGAGTCTTTAGGGTTTTCTAGGTGTATGATCATGTCATCAGCAAACAGCAACAGTTTGACTTCCTCTTTACTGATTTGGATGCCCTTTATTTCTTTCTCCTGTCTGATTGCTCTGGCTAGGACTTCCAATACTGTGTTGAATAGAAGTGGTGAAAATGGGCATCCTTGTCTTGTTCCAGTTCTCCAGAGGAATGCTTTCAACTTTTCCCTATTCAGTATAATGTTGGCTGTGGGTTTGTCCATAGATGGCTTTTATTAACTTAAGGTGTGCCCCTTCTATGCTGATTTTGCTGGGGGTTTTAATCATAAAAGATGCTGGATTTTGTCAAATACTTTTTCTGCATCTATGGAGATTATCATGTGATTTTTGTTTTTAATTCTGTTTATGTGGTATATCACATTTATTGACTTGTGTATGTTAAACCATCCCTGGATCCCTGGTATGAAACTCACTTGATCATGGTGGACAATCTTTTTGATATGTTGTTGGATTTGGTTAGCTGGTATTTTGTTGAGGAGTTTTGCATCTATGTTCATAAAGGATATAGTTCTGTAGTTTTTTTTTTTGTTATGTCCATCCCTGGTTTTGGTATTAGGGTGATACTGGCTTCATAGAATGATTTAGGGAGGATTCT